ATGTATTTTTTGTAGACTACTCCTTCATGGCTGAGCATACAGACTTACGTCACATAATGGGCGTGGGTATAGCGATAACGCGAGGCTCAGCCGCATCACTATCATTTTGCTACTCCATCCTCCTTCTCACCATGTGCAGGAACTTCATAACTAAATTAAAGGAATTTTCTATACATCAGTATATTCCACTGGATGCCAACATCCAATTTCACAAAATTGCAGCGTGCACGGGTCTATTTTTCTCATTACTGCATACCGTCGGTCACATTGTCAATTTTTACCACGTCTCTACCCAACCTATTGAGAATCTGAAGTGCTTAACTAATGAAATCCGATTTAATTCGGATTATAAACCTGGAATAAGTTTTTGGCTCTTCCAAACAATCACAGGTAAGACAACTTTTACAATAAGAATTAACTTGATGACGATTATATCGTCTGACTTTTTTGTTTTTTATTCTATCTACTGAAAATATCGTCACTAGAAAATCATTTAAAAATCAAAATATCTGTTCATGTATTGACCACAAATTACATAACCAAGATAAAAGTTAAAAATAAGAATTGCTTGTTTTTTATTAACAATAGGCTACGTGTCATCACAGCTGTTCATACTGACGATGGTCAGGTATAATCCGTAGTTTCTAGTCATAGGTAGCACCCGATGAGATGAAATGACTGAACGAAGCTCAACAATGCCATTCATAGACCAAGAAGCCTTCTGGTTCAAAAGCAGTTACAAGAATAACTACAGTGAGTAGCCAACAAGCAATTAAGGCGCTGCAAAAGCAGTTACAAGAATAACTACAGTGGGTAGCCAACAAATTTCATAGTAGAACATTCGCCAAAATTGACGGCATACCTGATAAGCAAAGGGAAGAGTACCAAAGCTGTAGTGGGTCTACTGACATGGCATTGCAAACTTGATAGGCATCTCAAGCTGATGAGATTGCCGGACGAGGCCATGTGCAGATTTAGTCAATCTGAAGAGGAAACGACAGAACATATTTTAAGACACGATGACAGCAAAAGAACCGCATATTTGCATTAGGCAATGATGAACCATTGACAAAGAGCTATATAGAGGGTTAAGTCTCCAAATTATTAGACTTTTTGAAGAGGATAGGGCTGCAAAATGTAACCTAGAGATCAGAATAGGAACAATAGATCTGGCAATGGAACAGGCCAATAGCCACCTTAACAATCTAATACAGGTTGTTAACTGGACAGTTACTTATCGGGGAACAGAATGGCAACACTGCCTATTGAGAACTCATGCACTTATAAGGTTTTCTATCGACTCGTCCCGTCGCGTCGTCTATCGACGAGCGGGCCGAGGTTGCCATATTTCAACCATAAAGCTCTTGCCGCGAGTAATAAACAAATTAACAACCTGTATAATATAATCAAGCAACAGCATCTGTATCGCTACATGAAAACACAATTAAATTCCGTATTAAAAGAGGAGTACGACAAGGCGATACCATTTTCCCCAAATTGTTCATAGCACTATTAGAATATATGTTCAAAAGACTAAACTGGGAGGAAATGGACATTAATGTTAACGGAGAAATACTCAATAACCTGCGTTTTGCTGATGACTTGGTGCTGATTACAGACAAAATACACGAAGCACCAAATATGCTAGAAACACTTAAACGGGCGTCAGATCAAATTGGACTACGCATAAATTATTCAAAAACCAAACTTGACCAATCTTGTTATTAGTGGAAATGTTTCGGTAGACGGAGCTAATATAGAACAAGTATATTCATGTAAATATCTGGGGCACGAAATAACAATTGGTCGCGATAACCAGACGCACGAGATACAAAGAAGAATAGGACTAACATGGGCAGCATTCGGCAAACTAAGATATGTGTTAAAATCAGATCTACCAATGTGCTTAAAGAGGAAGGTGTTCCATCAGTGCGTTATGCCAGTACTTACATATGGCGCAGACACTTACAGTGACGAAAAATCCATAGAAAAAATCCATGTAGCCCAACGAGGTATGGAAAGAGCAATGCTTGGTGTATCTCTAAGAGACAAGATACGCAGTACAGTTATAAAACAGCGGACATGAATAACAGATGCTATATATCTGCTTAAAATCTCAAATGGAACTGGGCTGGGCATATTGCCAGAAGAACGGATGATAGATGAACCAAGCTAATACTAGAATGGCGGCCAAGACAGGATGCTCTCAGAAACAGATGCAGACCTCCGACAAGATGGTCAGATGACTTAAAGAGATTTAGGGGAAACTGGACAACTGAGAAGAGTGGAAAGATTTGAGGGAGGCCTACGTCCAGCAGTGGACACTTCAGGCTGGTTGATGATGATGATGATGATGATATAATCTAGATGGAACCACCACTCCAGATTTAGACCTAGAAATTTTTAATAGTCACACAATCAATTCAATCTGTAAGTTATTAGACTTTTTTGAAAAGGATATCTACGACAGGAGGATGTAATCTAGAGATGAGAAATCTAATTACATGAATAATCTAGTACGCTGTGAAGCTGCACTGAAGCCTGAGGTAAAATTATATAAAAACGATGAACGTGAGTAGTAGTACTGGCTTATTGCATAAAAACAAATATTTTGATTTTTAAGTGTTTGTTCGAGTTGCTATGTTCATAGCATGACCTTTTTATAAAAAAGTATATGAAAAAATCAGATAATAGTTAAGCTACTTAACATAATTATTTTATTCTTTTAGGTATTACTGGAGTACTTCTGTTCATTATAATGTGCATCATTGTTGTTTTCGCTCATCCCACCATAAGGAAAAAGGCCTATAAGTTCTTCTGGTTTACTCACAGCCTGTATGTATTACTCTACGCTCTTTGCTTGATTCACGGATTGGCCAGGTTGACTGGACCTCCAAGGTTTTGGATGTTCTTTATCGGACCTGGTATCATATTCACATTAGATAAGGTAATAAGAAACAATGTATGTAGAAATAAAGAAAATATAGAAATCCAGTCCAAAAAAGTTTCTTTGCTATAGTAGTTATTAATATTAAAATAGTAATTAAAATATTTGAAAATATTCTTTTCTTTTTATAACTTCTATTGTGAACTCTCACTGAATTAACTTTTAACTTAATAGATAACTGTAATTTGTAGGTCGTCAGTTTGAGGACTAGGTACATTCCACTGGACGTTTTCGAGACGGACCTTTTACCATCAGATGTCATCAAAATCAAATTTTACCGACCGCCCAATCTGAAATATTTGTCGGGTCAATGGGTCAGACTGACTTGTACAGCATTTAAAGACAGAGAGTTTCATTCATTTACTTTAACGTCAGCGCCGCACGAGAACTTCTTGTCATGTCACATCAAAGCACAAGGTATTCTTCGTTTTATTTTAAAACATTTCAAAGTCACTTGGACTGGTTTGGGACTTCAAACGATGCCGACAAAGAGAGTGTCTAAATTAAAAGCCTCAAACTAGTCTAAGTAACTTTGGAAATAGTTACCATATTTTTATTTTTTTTATCTCTTAAAATTTGTTGGGGTGTTTTAATCCAAGATCAAATATATTTTAGTGGATACTGCTACACCATAAGAACTATAATCTGTATTTCTTATCTTCGTATACTCTATCGTAGTTATCTTGAAGCCGATTTTTTCGATCAAACTATCAACATCTTTGTTCTTTTTTTGGAAAAAATATGCGATGTAGGTATGGCAGTAATACTCGAACAAAATTATGATAAGGAATTTAATCATCAACTATTGTTCTAACAAATGATTTACCACGTATCAAAAAATATATGGTTCATGCTCTGGTAAAAAGACATCTGTATCAAATAGATCTAATGGAGAGTCTCACTAAAGACCATAACAGGAAACTAGCAATAGCAAGAAAAAATTTCTGTGACTGTGAAATACTAGTTTTAAGGTGATACTCAGATGATCTTCAGAAAATAACAGAGAGGACAACCAAGAGTAAGAGGAGTTTTCCAAAAAGGTACCAAATAAGGAACATATACAATATCGTATATAGTACAAAAATACTGAGTGGCTGTAATGTATAATAAGCCTTAAGGTTGCACTGTTATCAGTAGATAATTTCAGTTTCTGAAGAAAAATACTTTTTAAAATATTAAGTCATAATATTTGATGTTATGATTCACTTTTTATTATTTTTTTTAACCAGAGTCTACAAAAGAAGTATGTGGGAATAGACAACTCTCCCTGGAAACTCTGTAACAAGGAACCTCCAATAGCAAGGCAGATTTTCTGTGACTGTGGAATACTAATCTTAAGATGACAGGAAATAACCAAGAGAAAAAGGGATATTCTAAAAAAACGATAAGAAAATATACAATATCGTCTATTATATATAAATATACAATATCAAACTACTGAGTGACTGTAATGGTATTAACTAAGCACAATAAGCCTCAAGGCTGCATTGTTGAGAATAGCGGAGGATACGATAATCATGACTTTTCGTGGGGAAAAGTGACATTTTTTATATATGTTTGTTTATTAAGTCTTTGAATTTATGTATTTCACTTTTATTATTTTTTAAGACAGAGTCTAGAATAAAAAATAGTGAGTAATAAACAGAGCCTCACTTGGAAGAACTCCTGGTAAAGAAGAGAATCACCGAAGAGCAAGGCAAATTTTCTGTGGACTTGAAAGTCTGAAATGAAGAAAGTAACAACATCCGAGGG